AATAACAGTTGATGAATTCAGACATACTCACAAATACACGTTTACAAAAGGATTACAAATACAGAACATTGGTTTACAAATAGAACAGTTTTATGCTAATAAAACTACTTTTCATATACAGCAGAAAATATAGGGTTTTCTGGAAACAGTTACATATTCAAGAAACAGAGAACATTCTTTCAAAGCATAAATACTTATGCACTCACTCAACTTTATGTTGATACTCTCTTTTCAAATTACTTGTATTCTCAGGGAACCAGTAGGCAGGTACACTCCGAGCTTTTGAGAAGATGGAGCTATTTATGTCTTATCTTCTTCTTTTGTATAACTATTTAGTTTCATAATACAAGGTTGAAACACATGTAAATATTTATACTTTTTAAATACAGTGGTTGTTTGTACTCTGATTACTATAATGCATGTGTTGTGATACTACAAATGAAGTCCTCCACCCCCGGACGTTGCCGCCGTCTGGTTTGGGGGTGTGACACCATGGTAGACAGCTAAGACCACATGGGGGTTCCAGTGGCACTCGGTATAAGAGCTTGGAGGGTTTCCATGGCATCCATATATGTTGTATGCATGGCTTTTGTGTTTTATGTAGCTTATATAGCTAATATGGATTATGAGATTATGGATTGTGTGGGGTATGCTCTGGGGAACTCACTAAGCATTAGCTTACAGTTTGTTGGTTGTTTCAGGTACTTCAGGGCCTAAGGGCAAGGGCAAGGCTTGATGGCGTGGCATGCACTCTCTAGCATTTGATTTGGGGACATTCTGATATTTTGAATAAAATGTTTATGTTATGGATTTTGAAAACAATTGTTATTGAGATTTCATATTTCATGGGAGTGAGTCAATTACTTAAAAATGCAAAATTTATTTGGAAAATTAGGTTGTTACACAAGGTCAAGGCAGCGCACCAGCGCCCTCATGGCAAGTTGCAGCCTTTGGAGGTTCCCCTATAGAAGTGGGAATAGATTTCTATGGATTTCATTACCAAGTTACCGAGGACTGCGAGGGGTGTGGACACTATCTGGGTGATAGTGGACCGGTTGACAAAGAGTGCTCACATCTTAGCTATAAGTGAGAACTCTTCCGCAGAGAAGTTGGCAGAGATCTATGTTCGAGAGGTGGTGGCTCGGCACGGGGTGCTGGCGTCTATTGTGTCCGACCGAGATGTGCGCTTTACTTCCAGATTCTAGAAGAGATTTCATGAGGAGTTAGGTACCCGACTACATTTTAGCACCGCGTAACATCCGCAGACGGACGGGCAGAGCGAGCGGACGATTCAGACGCTCGAGGATATGCTACTAGCTTGCGTTATTGATTTTGGTGGGAGTTAGGACTCCTACCTTCCCTTGGCCGAGTTTTCTTACAACAACAGCCACCACTCCAGCATTGGGATGCCTCCCTTTGAGCTTTTATATGGGAGGAGGTGCCGGACTCCTATCTGTTGGGGGGAGGTCAAACAGAAAGTTATGGGTAGCACCGATATAGTGCTCAAGACAACAGAGCATATCCAGCAAGTCAGACAGAGGTTGCTAACGGCCCAGAGTCGTCAGAAAAGTTACGCAGATCAGCGGTATTTTGAGCTAGAATATCAGGTCGGTGACTTTGTACTCCTGAAGGTATCACCATGGAAGGGTGTGATCTGATTCAGGAAACGGTGCAAGTTGGGCCCCGGATTCATTGGTCCTTTTAGGGTGGTTGCTCCAGTGGGAAAGGTAGATTATCAGTTAGATTTTCATGAAGAGCTGAGTCAGATTCATGACACCTTCCATGTATCTCAGCTGAGGAAGTGTGTAGCCGACGAGACGGAAGTGGTCCCTTTAGAGGATATCCAGGTTGATGATCACCTAAATTATATTGAGAGGACAGTGGCGATCTTGGATAGGATAGTGAAGACCTTGAGGAACAATGTAGTGAACTTGGTCAAAGTTCAGTGGCAGCACCGTAGAGGTTCGGAGTGGACTTGGGAATCAGAGTCCGAGATGCGTGAGCAGTATCCAGAGTTGTTTCCGGAGGATGACTTCGAGGGCAGAGTCTGATTCTAGTGGGGGAGAATTGTAACATCCCATAATGAGGTATAACTTCTCGGATCTTAACCTTTTTTTATATGTCAAGATTCGTCCTTATTATGAAAAAGGTGACATTTGAGTACACGGGGCGTACGCATGGGTACGTGCAGCGTATTCATGCACTTAGCATTGTCGCGGAGGCCACCTAGTACGTTGGGCGTACTAGGATCAGTGAGAAACCCTAATATTTTCTTGTGTCCCTATTTAAGGAACATGGTGGCCTCATTTCTAGCCACCATTATCAGCCTCCAACCTCCCCTAAACCCTAATCTCGTTCCTCTAGCTTGTGTGAGTGTTTGTGACTCTTTTGGGTGTCCTTGTAAAGCTTTTGGTGAAGAAGAAGCCTTGAAGGAAGGATAGTTGGTGCTTCTAGCTCTTGGATCTGAGTTTTTCTTCATTTGGTGCATCTTCCAGAGGTGTCAAGTTTAAAACTTCATTGTTTGTTCTAGTTCTTGTTTTGGGTCCTTTTTAGGGTTTTATGTCCCAAGTATGGAACTTTGTGAGTTTGATGAACTCGAGATCTATTCTTCTGTCCTTTTAGGTGTACTGGAGTGTCTTGATCCACAAAAATGAGTGCTTGGATGTCTAGATCTCTCCATGCATGAGTTGTATGGTCTTTTGTATTGATAAAGTTAGAGTTTTTGGGTTTGGAGCTTGACTAGCCTTGCAAAGGCTTAAAGTCAACAACTTTATGAATTAATAGGCCTTATTTAGCTCAGATCTATACTTGGAATACTTGTATTAGCGGATTAAGACCAAGAGAAGTGGGAAATGGGAGTCCGAGGAGTACGTCGTGTGTACTCCCAGCTACGCGCAGAGTAGAGTTGAAAACCCTCGTCGCATGCTTAGCCAGCAGTACGCCCAACATACGCGCTGGGTGTTGACTTTAGTTGACTTTTGAGTTTGGGTCAATTTGTGGACTTTTGACCAAGGAGGGACAAAATGGTCTTTTTACCCTTCTCAGATTTAGTTAAAAGGATCGGTCTAGCATTACAAGGTTATTAATATTAATTAGAGTTATATTGTGGCATATTGTAGGCAGATTCTAGACCGGCAGTTCGGATGCGAGATTTATTTGCTTTTCTACGTGAGGTGAGTCTTCTCACTATACTTACTGTGTGGTAGTTTATGTGTGACCGGATGGTCTTATTCGTGTTATTGGCCGGAGGGTCTTAATTGATATATGTGTATTCCGTCTTTGTGACTTATGATGTTATATTATTTTGTGTATATATATATATATATATTGAGTTATGACCGAAGGGTCCATACCGAGACGTGAGACCGGATGGTCTTCACTGAAACACATGACCGGAGGGTCCTTATTGAGACATAGCCATGAGAGGCTAATTATTTGTGTATGTGGTATTTTGGGGAACTCACTAAGCTTCGTGATTACAGTGTTGATTTAAATGTGTTTCAGGTATATCTCAGGATCGCGGGAAGGCGCCGACATGATTGTACACACTCGTCTGTTAATGAGGATATATGTGGATTTTGGGATATTCTGACTTTGTTTTATGATGTTATGTATTTGACATGGGTTGGTGTTAAAACCATGGTTCTAAAAAACGCGTCATGGCGTGTCTCAAGGCGTGCCATGGCCCGAGGCGTGGTGTAGCCGTTATGAAAAAGTCCAAGACGGGTTTGTTAAGTGTGGCGCCCAAGTAACGTGTCAAGGCGCGCCTTATCGTGATATGGCGCGAGTTTTTTTTGTTTTTTTTTATTTTTTTTATCGGGCCTAAAATAATTAAGTTTTTGTTAACTTTTTATATTAAATACTAATATAACACTTCTAAAAACTTGATATACTTGATAAAAATCAATAATTATATGATTTATCTCTTTTAATATATATATATATATATATATATATATATATATATATATATATATAATAGTCACGCCTTGAAAAACACCATGGCTCACCAAGGCTTGTCACGCCTAATATAACACTTCTAAAAACTTTTACCTTGCCGCCAAGTCACGCCTCATGTTATTTAGAACCTTGGTTAAAACTATGTTTTTTGGGAAACTTAAAAATGAAAATTTTGTTTGAAAATTTTGAGTTGTTACAGTTAGGGTTTAAGGGTTATGGCATTAAGTCATATGGGTTAGGGTTTAAGGGTTATGTCATTAAGTAATATGGGTTAGGATTTAAGGGTTATGTCATTAAGTCGTATGGGTTAAGGTTTAAGGGTAATGACATTAAGTCATATGGGTTAGGGTTTAAGGTTTATAGCATTAAGTCGTATGGGTTAGGGTTTAAGGGTAATGGCATTAAGTCATGCGGGTTAAGGTTTAAGGGTTATGACATCAGGTCATATAGGTTTGACTTTAAGGGTTATGGTTCTTCGGTTTCGTTGTGTTAAAATATTAATACATATGTAGGTTTGAAAATTATGACTACATTAAAAATTTATTAATTTTAATATAAAAATAATGATAATAAATATTATAAAATAATATAATAAAATAAACAAATTTTTTTATTAAAAAATGAAGTATATATTTTTCTAAATTTAAGATAGTCAATTTTTTTTTTGTAGATTTTGATATTCCCTCCTATATTTCTAAAATATTTCAGTGTTCCCTCAGATATTTTTAAAAATATTTTAAATTTTTCACAAACCCAAATATTAAATAACCTAATCTTCTGAATCGGTCCACAAAACAAATCGTCGACCGAAAAAGAGGGTGTTTATGCTTTGCCCCTCGCAACCACCTCCCCATCAAAAATCATTTACCTCATCGCAGCCATCTCTGTTCCTCGCTAGAATCTTTGGTGCAATTGAGTTACAAACAATCTAAAAATCCATATATCATTACTATATTTGAACTTCCTTCCGCACGCATAACCTCTTTTCTCAAATCAATATCACATTCGCCAATAACAATTACAGTCAATTGAACCCCACCATGAGCGACAATGTATCCACCGCTGCCACCACCACCAAAGCCTCTCTGATCACCAAAACTTTGGTTGTCGGAAGATATGCTGAAGAGCCCGACGACATCATATATGAGCCCGAAGCAACATTCACATGTACCTTGGAACATTGATATGCATACAATTTGTTTGTGTAAATGCCCAATTGAGGGTACTGTGGCCATGGCACGAAACTTTTATATGATGTTAGGCAATTTCGGAGCAGTTATGTCACTTGTCAAAACTGATGTTGTTGGTAATAGAACAGTAAGTGTTAACCCTTTCCATTTCCTTTAGTTTTGATTTGTATATTAATATATTATATTCCATTTATACGCATATTTGATTATTTTTCTCTTCTTCCAAAGGTTATAGAACAAGTATTTATCCAACCCATATGATTTTTAGAAACTATACGGTTCGGATTGAGGTTGAAGCTAAGAAAGCAAATGGTTCATCCAGTTGCACTAATGGTCATTTGTGGCTAACTAGGTGAGTTTACGATTCTACCCTCACAGTAATATATTATCACAAATAATTAAAACCCCCCAAGACACCCTTCATAGCGATGGACTTCATTGTAGAATTATTATGTAACATAGTGGAGCACAAGGATTGGAGCATGTAATAAGTTTATTCTGAAGCCTACACTAAGACACTCTATAAATAGCATGGATGGTTAGCTAGTTCAACTTTCACGGTATCCATTTTCTTTATTACATTATTAGAATTTACAAAAAGTAAAATTATAGTATATATACAAATACATATTCTATCACAGTTGACCAAAAGAAATACTTTGAAGATTTATGCAAGCCCATGGGTGTTAGAGCTTGGCTTAACTATCAGGTTTTGTATTACACCAAGAATTGAAAATTTTTTATTTTATCTTGCATAGTCTATATACAAATACATCGACTATCAGATTTGTATTTCTCTTTGCTTCTTTCTTTTTCATTGCACATATATGGAGGAAACTATAATTCAAGTTACAAAATGATCAAATAGGTTACAATGTTACATTAAAATGCATATTTACGTGTAGGAGTAGTAGCAGATATTATTTTTGTTTGTGTTTTGGCTTTTTCTAAAAACAATAACATATTTCTAATTTAAGTTGTTATAATTTTCAGGGATGTGTGAAATGGTTTCAAGCAGATGAAACTGGCCACAAACATTGCAATGGTCAATACTTTGATTATTGGCGGTGTGTAGACAAATGTGTAAGTTTATTATTATTATTTTATTTAATCAGTATATTAAATATGTGTTAATCTTTAATCTTTATTCATACTTTTTTAATATTAAGCCTTATTTCAATGCAGGTTACACCTAGGCTGTTTGCAAAACTTAAGTAATGGAGAATATAGGGAGCTTGTTGCTAAACAAAAAGAGCAAAACGAAGAGCTTAAGTAAATAATGAAGGCCAAAGATGACCAACACAACGCAAGAGTCGAGCATCTTAATAAACAACTACAATCGGCCATGGCTGTTACTAACTCTTTTAAACAACTACAAAACTAGTAGGTCATAAAGTGTTGATAGGTTTATTGCAAAGTATTTATTTTAAATTAGCCACTTTCATTTTCCATATAATAAATATTTATTGTTTTATTTTATGATATAAATGTTATTTGATTTTTGTTATTTTTGTTTTTATATATTAGTACAAAATAATTTGTATTTAATTTCAAAATTAATTATCCATCCATAGTTATGATCTTTGCTACGGAAGCATGTCTACGTAATTTTCTATGGAATCTGTTATAGAATATAGACCAAGGATTTTTCTATGGAACCGACACCACAGATTTTGCTATGGAACCAACACCACAGATTTAGCTATGGAGTTATCACCATGGATTTAGCTAGGGAGTCATCACAATGGATTTAGCTATGGAGTCACCACATCGGATTTAGTTAGGAAGTCATCATAACGGATTTAGCTAGCGATTCATCACCATGGAATTTGCTACAGATCCACTACAACGCAATTTGTGATGGAAGAACTACCACATAATTCGCAACGAAATACCATCTACAACAGATTTCATTCCATTGTCACATTTGCGACGGAATTATTGTTTACATTGAAAATTCCATCGCTATTCGTATTTTGCAACGGAATTTCCGCTTTTTGTAACGGATTCCTTCCCTAGTAAAATCGTGTTTTTCTTGTAGTGACACTAACCCTTGCGCTTAGTCATTACTACCCGCAAATATAAAAAGACATCATCAACTAACACTCTCTTTTTCACTAACTATAGGATCTAAGCGTGCCTCTGAGGAGAATCACTAGGAGCAACCCCATATCACAACCAAACCCTGACCCAGCAACCATGGATGCAACAACCATCGAGGCACTGATCGCCCAAAGGGTCTCGGATGCCCTAGATAACTTTGAAACCAATAGAAATGTCGGATCCAGACAGGGAGGAGGAACCGAAGGAGATCATGTTTTTCTTGTAGTGACGCTAACCCTTGCGCTTAGTCATTACTACCCGCAAATATAAAAAGACATCATCAACTAACACTCTTTTTTTCACTAACTATAGGATCCAAGCGTGCCTCTGAGGAGAATCACCAGGAGCAACCCCAGATCACGACCAAACCCTGACCCAGCAACCATGGATACAACAGTCATCGAGGCACTGATCACCCAAAGGGTCGCGGATGCCCTAGCTAACTTTAAAACCAATACAAATGGCGGATCCATACAGGGAAGAGGAACCGGAGGAGATAGTACTCAGGGTGGTAACGGAGGTCACCCAAGGGCATGTACTTATAAGGAATTCATGAAATGCAAGACTAATCCCTTCTACGGAAATGAAGGAGTAGTAGAACTGACTCTCTAGATCGAGAAGATGGAGTCAGTATTTAAGACCAGCTTTTGTGCTGAAAATTGAAAAGTTAGATTTGTTGCCTATACCTTCGAGGATGCAACATTTTCATGGTGGAACATCCATGCCAAAACCATGGGTATTACCACAGCTAATACCATCTCTTGGGATGAGCTAAATCATTTTTTGATTGATGAGTATTGTCCTAGAGAGGAAATGCAAAAGTTGGAGCAAGAGCTCTAGAATCTTACCATGCAAGACGCAGACATCGCAGCTTATACCAACCTCTTCAATGATCTCGCTATTTTCTGTCCCATCCTTGTTACCCCAGAGTACAAGAAGATAGATAGGTATATATGGGGATTAGTTCAACCTATTCAGGGGTTGGTCACTACATCCAGACCAACTACATACGATAGTGCCAAGAGGCTGGCCTTTAACCTAACCAATCAGGAAATACGCCAGGGCACTATATGATGGGTTTTAGGTGAAACAAATAAACCAGAAAACAATTCCTAAGTTCACATGCAACCTACTTTGGATCTATGTTTTAACTATTGAACATACAACTTTGAATTGCAAAACAAGAACCCTAGAGGAGGAGGCTATTTTCGAAAATAGTAAACTAGGGTTTAGGAGTTACATACCTTTCAATTGTTATAGCAAACAATTGATAATTCCCTTGATCTTGATCTTGATCTTCTTGGAAGCTTAGCACCACAAGTGTAATGCCTCTAATGGAATCACACCCAAGAACTAGCAAGAAGGAAAGTAGAAGAAGAGAGAGAGGGAGGGAGTATGCAATTCGGCCCAGGGTTTCTTCCAAAGAACAAGTCACCTAAAATGTGATCTAGGAGGCTCCTTAAATAGCTGAGGGATCTAGGGTTTAGGGAAAACCCTAATTATCCTTTGCTTAGGGCCTAAGCAAAACCCAAGGGCCTTATCTGGACCCCTTGGACGAAATCTCTAGGGTTTCCCCTATGGATTTCGTCCACCTCCTTCCAAGGGGGTTCTGGATCCTTCCACTCAACTATTAGTTAATTGCAAACTAGTCCCTGCACTTTATAATTAATTATTTTAACCCCAAAATTAATTCTGATTAATTTCTGGCTAACTATTAATTAAAAATAATGATTTCTAATTAATATATTAATCTTTTAACATATTAATAAATCATTTATATATATTAATTTATTAATCTTATAAATTAATATCTCTCCTTTCATAATTTCCTTGTCCAGTTGCTAGGTTGAGGGCAACCCAAAAGGACTGTGCTGCTATCAATTCAAGTACATACCAATTATAGTTATGGGCTTAGACACCTAATCCAACAGTCTCCCACTTGGATAAGTCTGTAACTATAATTGCTAGTATGCCTTCTAAATTTGACCAGCAAATTGTAGCTTCCAAAAGCTGCTGCTGAACTCTGACCCAGTCAGTTACGTGTCCTAAGATAAGTGATCATATAATCCTTCGTTCTGCTAGATATCCCTAGACAAAAGACATGGAATGTAATCAATCTCTTTGTCCAGAATCTATGTTTCCCGATTTCTGATTTGTGATGATGTAGGACTTCTAATTGAACACATCAATTTAGTCCTGGCTGGGCCCAGCACACAAGTCAACACCAAATCATCGAGGGCCCACAAATATCGCTTTTCCAGTTAGGGCAAAAGGAACGAATAAACGTTGACTCATATGCTTGTATCTTTTACTCATCAAATTATGCATGACAATACGTTTTATAACACCAAGTTACTGATGCGTTTTCGTATCACCAATGCATAACCGACTTGTAAATTGCAACTCATATATCTTCGTTTCAAGATTATAAGATATTATCGTCTCAGTATTACTCGTGATGAATTCCATGAAGTGATACTCTGAGCGAGGGTTTATCCAATACTCAAATCTCAATTTCTGAGTACTCATGAATGTTGCAGCAATTCCATCGCCATGTCTATCCTTAGACAATCTGCAATCCAATTCATGACAGTCTTAATTCACTACTTACTTCCAAAAGTATGAGCGACTGTGGAGTTTGAATAATCTTATTATTCGGGAAGTAAAACATGCAAAAATGAAACACAATAATAAACAATTGACAAAAGGCAGTAACCAAACTTATAAATAATACTTTATTATTTAATCACCAAAAGTCAATTACATTTACTTTGTTACTAGTTTCAGAACAAAACTAATCTAACTACTAAAACTAATATCATCTTTCAGTCCTATGCTCCGAGCATGCCGAATATTTCTTAGCCCTACTCAGACCCTTTGTGAGGGGATCTGCTGGGTTATCTTCAGATGACACCCTCTTTACTACAAGATGGCCTTCTTCTACTCTATGTCTGATGAAATGGTACTTTCTGTCGATATGTCTGGTTTTACCATGATCTCTCGGTTCCTTTGTCAAGGCAACCGCTCCTTCATTATCGCAGAACAGTTCCATAGGCTCCTGGATGGTTGGAACAACTCCGAGATCTCCGATGAAGTTCCTCAACCAAGCTGCTTCTTTCGACGCTTCACTCGCTGCTATGTACTCTGATTCGCAAGTAGAATCAGCCACCGTATCTTGCTTGGAACTTTTCCAAGTAACTGCTCCTCCATTCAGTAAAAATACCCAGCCCGATTGAGAACGGAAGTTATCTCTATCCGTCTGAAAGCTGGCGTCACTGTAACCATCTACTCTCAAAGTATCATTGCCACCAAGCACAAGGACCCAGTCCTTTGTCCTTCGCAAATACTTGAGTATATTCTTAACCGCTATCCAATGAGCTCTACCTGGGTTTCCCTGATAGCGACTGACCATGCTCAAAGCAAATGCCACATCAGGGCGAGTACATGTCATAGCGTACATGATCGATCCGACAGCGGAAGCATAAGGTGCACGACTCATGTCATCTATTTCCTCATCTGTACTCGGACATTGAGTCTTACTCAATTTGGTATTGCTCTGGATAGGTAGCTCTCCCTTCTTGGAATTTTCCATACTAAACCTCTTTAGTACCTTATCCAAGTATGTGCTCTGACTAAGTCCAATTAGTCTCTTCTTTCTATCTCTCAATATTCTAATCCCAAGAATATAGGCAGCTTCTCCAAGGTCTTTCATGGCAAAACACTTTCCAAGCCAAGACTTAACATCTATCAAGGTCGGAACGTCGTTACCAATGAGTAATATGTCATCGACATATAACACCAGAAAAGTTACTATACTCCCACTAGCCTTGATATACACACAGAACTCATCTTCACTTCTAGAGAAACCAAACTCTTTGACTTTCTCATGAAAGCAAAGATTCCAGCTGCGAGATGCTTGTTTCAATCCATAAATGGATTTCTCAAGCTTGCACACTCTATTGGGAAACTTTGCATCAACAAAACCCTCTGGCTGATTCATGTAAACATCCTCAGCCAACTTCCCGTTAAGGAAAGCAGTCTTGACATCCATCTGCCAGATTTCATAGTCATGAAAGGCAGCTCTGGCGAGCAATATCCTAATAGATTTAATCTTA